AGGGTGGGATTCCCTTAATGAGTCCCATCAAGAGGAAGTCTGCACAAGGACTGTTGCTCATGCTATGTGGTTTCCCCCTGTCCCTCCCCGCTCCTCCAACCTGTGCCCACAAAATTGGCCCAGTGGGCCAGGACAACCCTCAGAACAGCACACAGGGGGAAGTGTGGGGGAATCATTTTGTCTGGCAACCTGAAAAGCTTTTGTTGACAAAACACTCAACATAGCACAATGTTGGGAATGGCTAAATTTTGTGGCCGTTCACTCCATTCTTCCCTAATAATAATAATTTATAATAATATTTATTATTTATACCCGCAAAAGTAGCTGTACAATAAAGTTTATATAAGACAAACACAATATGTATATTGTAGCTTAAGACTGGATGGGAGAGCCTAGGGTAACCATGGGTGAAGCTTGTTCAGCGTCAGATAACATAATAGGCATTGGCTAGCTATGTAGCAACTTAAAATATTTTTATTTAGGCAAGCCTATGTAGATCTTGATGTGTTTTAAGTTCTTTTATTGGCAATTGTTGATGTGTTTTTTAACTGAGTTTTTAAATGAGAACTTGAATATCTCTTGTAACCTGCCTTAGAGGTTTTACAGCAGCTAAGTGACATATAAATTTCCTTAAATATACTGTCCTAGCAGAGGCTTTAATGCAGGCATAGGCAAACTCGTCCCTCCAGATTTTGGGACTACAATTCCCATCATCCCTGACCACTGGTCCTGTTAGCTAGGGATGATGGGAGTTGTAGTCCCAAAATATCTGGAGGGCCGAGTTTGTCTATGTCTACTTTAATGAAAGAAATCCCCAGCAGATCTTCAAGCAGAGACTGGCTGTCGATCTGTTGAGGATGTTCTAGGTCTTGATTTCCTGCACAGAGCAGGGGAGTTGGAGTAGATCAGGCATCCCCAGCCTGTGGCCCTCCAGATGTTTTGGCCCAACTCCCATGATCCCTAGCTAACAGGACCAGTGGTCAGGGATGATGGGAATTGTAGTCCAAAACATCTGGAGGGCTGAAGGTTGGGGATGCCTGGACTAGATGATTGACTCTCCAACTCTGATTCCATGAGCAAGACTAGACCTTTATGAGCTGTGAGCTGCCATCCGAAATTTCAGTGGCATAAGAACACTGGACCATCCTTTGATTTATGCCTGCTGTTTATTCAGCAACAAGTCTTGCTGAGTTGGGGCCACAAGCCTTAATAGCTAATTGCCAGCAGAATTACAAAAGCACACTGTTGATTCCTTATCATTTTGCATAGCAATTTCATTCACTGTTTTTATGCAAATGAAATTGCAATAATTCCCCCCCCCCATCATACTGCTATACGCCACACCAATCTCCAAGCAGATCCTTACCCTGGGTACAGTTTCCTCGGAATGAGGGACAGCTGAGACTGTGGTGTCTTTAGGATATGTGGTTTATTTACATTTAAATACAACCTGAGCCCACAGGAGGGGCTAATAGCATTAACACTCCAACGAGGTCTTGCTTCTCCCATAGCCACAACCTTGGATTCAAGCAGAAATCAAGCATGTCTCTCCTTCTCCGGCTTCTGCCTGCCGTCTGCTTCTAGCTCTCACACACAACTCTGGCCTTTGTCCTTCTAAACAACAGCCAGTTGAGGAAAGGAGTCCCGCCCATTTGTCCTCTGGCAGAGAGCCACTTCCTTTGTTACCTTAATGGCCCACATTTAAGCCAATAGCCCACCAAGAAGCTGCCTTTGCTATTCCAGCAATTAAATCCTTCCTGGATCCAGGAATTAGAGGGGATTCAGGCATACAGCCCCCCCCTCCAACTCAAAACAATACCGTGATTACAATGTTGCAGGCAGTCTTTTTTTCTAAAAAAAAAAAATGTTTAGGGTTACTCTCATTTTCCTATTCATATTGAAATACTGCACCTCAATGAGGCCAAACTTAGATTCACAACATGTTTGGGGGTATGCGTCCGCCTAGAAAAAAAACACTGGTTGTGGGGGCATTTGGCAATTCTCATCTTAAACGAACAGGACCCCCATGATTATAATTAGTATTTATTACATTTCTATTGAGCCGTTCACCTGAAGATCACAGGGCAGTTTACAATATAAAGACAGTGAAATACATACCAGAGTGCTAGAATTGTGGAAAGCGTGAAAGGAATGAAACGGAATTTGAACTGGGAGCGGGGGAGTGAATCCTTTTCATTCTTTTGACTTTTTCCTCCATTTCCAGGTCAGTTCAGAAGAAAAGTTCCAGAGTTGAAAACGCCAATTGAATGTGTTTAGAGTACTTGTAAATGGCTGCAAGGGGAGCACTGCTCTTTAAAATATAATGCCGGCTATCTCACAGCAGGTTTGCTGGAAAAGGGATTTGCGGTTTTGCTTTAGGCTGTTGTCTTCCAGGCAGGCTTTTTGGGTTTGCAGCTGTAGCATGGCATTTAGTGTCGCTCTTGAGTTTAATTGATGATAAGTGGCATTATATGCTCCGCAAAACCCTGAAAAGATTGTACTTTCCTCTACGCTTTAACTCAGGCGCACATAATTTTTGCCATAAGAACAGAGAAGCTATTTATATGGCTAGAGATATAGATGTGAGAAAAGTAGCTTGGTAGCTTTTCTGAAGCGTGTACAATTGATTTCTGTTTATTTCCTTGCACGAAATTGTGGATGTTGCAGTGCGTTGAAAACGTACCGCCTCTGGCCATCGGGGTTAAAATAATGATCTTAATTACTTACAAGTGGGGTCTCCTTCCCGCACCACCAGTAAAGATATTCACAAGCTCCCACTTTGCAACTTTGCAGCAATGCAAGTTTTACTCTAAGCTGTACTCATTGATGAGCACACTTGGCTTGAGGATGAACACGTTCATTTTATTTGGTCAAAATCCGGTGCAAGCATGCAGGGGGTGCAGAGGGGAGATAAAGATGAATTAAGAGCAACTCCCCAAATGTTATGCGATTACACATTAACCCAGTGGCTTTCATACTTTCCAGCTAGCTTCAGAAACACTTTTCGCATCAATATGTCTACTAAGAAACTTAAAACGATCTGCCACAGAACCTGTGTGTGTTATAGAGCATTTTGTAATAAGTTCTAGGGTGTACACTCAGTTTGCATGGGCCATTGACCAAGCTTATGGGACCCCACTGTACTGCTGCAGGGGAACTTGGAGTATATCATTAAGTGCACCCACCTAATCCCCCCACCCTATGACTCTGCATTGCAGGAGGGAATTCGTCATGGCAGACAATGTATTTTCCAAATAAGCTTTTCCACCGTTACAGTTCTTCTCATTGAAAAATCCTTGCTATGTTTCCAAGGAACCTCGGGACTCCAGAACACAGTTTGAAAGCCATTATGCTAGTCCAATAAGCTTCAACTCCACACAAGGAACTGGTGAATATAGAATTAAGTGACTTGAGCCATCCCTGGGGGAGTGGGGCAAATTGGTTTCCACAGCCCCCCCCTCCATTTTTCAAGTGGGGAGTGCATTAACGTGGTGCCGGTAGCCACAAATAGCAGCCCTACTGCCTGGGAGGTAATCCCAAACACCCAACCAACATCTGGGCAGGACCCACACATTCAGGCATGGGAGGAGGGGCAGGGATCCTCTACAGAGTGCATTGAAAAGGTAACTTGCAGCGCTGCAGAAGGAAGAGAATGGACTAAAACTGTAAGAACCTGTGGTCGACTACAGCTCCAACCATCCTCATTGACCACGCTGGCTGGAGCTGATGAGTGCTGGTGTCTAAGAATGCCAAGAGAGCTGCAGGTTCACCACTATACAATTTACAAATCCGATTAGCTCTTCAGATATCAAAATTAGAATGCATCCTGCAAAACAGAAACGTTATGAATAATGGATGGAACTTAATTTACTCAAACTTGCATTGGTTAACCCCTCTTGTTCATGGATCTAAGAAGTTGGATTAAAGATGTGAGGGATCACTCTATGCATAATGTGCATTCATTGTAAAGTTGACACCTCAGAATTTGCCTAAGGGGTGACATGGAAGCAGGTGGAAGAGCAACATTAGCACATATGAATATGGTTCATACGGCGAGGTAGGGAGGGTACACAGTGTGATTCACCCTGGAGCCCACAACCCCAGAGCCACAGCCCTCTGTGGGGTAAGAGGTACACTTCAACAGTTTTCTCATCTTCCTTCTGAGCTGCATTGGAGAAGGGGAGGGCTGTCAGGGTGGTAGAATTCTGGAAACTAGCATTAAATCATTAAAGCTGGAGACTCAAGAGGGCATGATCAGTGTGGCATGTTGGGAGTGGACATTGTGGCAGATGTAGCCTGATTTTACAGGCATTTTTTTCCTGGCCTCTTTTAAATATGTGAGGACGAAGCACACTATTATTCTTATTACTGTTATTATTTGGTTTTGTTTTAGTACAAGAAATGCTTTGAAGGTTGTTGCAAATGCTGTAGCTGTCACAGAAAATGGGCATTGTTGTTTAGTATTAAAATCATGTATTCTAGATGTGGGCATTTGTTAGTCAGTTTGCTGTAAAATGACATACTGCTGAATCTTTAAAGGGCTTCAGTTTGGAAAAGCAAAATATGATTGGGCAAATTGCTAAAATATTTAAAGTGCAGCCTGTTAAAGCTTTTACTTCGAAGAGCGTCACGTCAAAAGTTGTATGCGGTAAAAGCAAGCAATTGGCTTCCCATCCTCATGCTAGTCAGTTAGCATGGGGGTTCTGTAGCTATCCCTTCCACTCCACTGCAGTTGCTAATAGAGACTCTTGTGATGTTTATTTGGAGGAAGGAATGAGGACTGGGGTGGGACATTCATGGGCCATAAGGTGAGGGAAGGACTTGTATTTCATAAAAGGTTATTGTGAGGTTCTTTCTTCCCCTCTCAATTCCCCAAATTTAAATATAACCTCATCTTTCTGTTATTGTCTTGAAAGCAGGTGTGTCAAACCATATTACAGGCACTGCTCCTAGTTATGGCTTCCATTGATATTAACCGTGACATTTTTCTTCTTCCTCAGACACGACCCCTTATTAATACCTGGCAATGAACAAGTTGACAACATGGATTGCAATGTGAAAAAATACGACTCCACGGGAATGTTTCATTGGTGTCCAGCCAAGGAGATTGACAAGGTTATTTTGGTGGGTATCTGCAAGGAAGGAGCACTTCCCAAGTCGTATCATACTATCAGACTGCACTCTGTTTTGTTTATTTCCTTGCGTATAACCAATCCAGTGAGTAATGAACTCCAGGATGAAGGATTTATGGACTGTAGGCTGTGTGTGCCTTAGCCAACCCATTTTCCTGACTGTTGGTAGGTCCACAGATTTTTGGTGGGCGTAGACCCCTGAGGTTTCCTGTTCCTTGTGAATATTCAACAGCCATTAGTCCCACTTTGCTGCCAGGTTCTGCTTTTCAGACTGCCTGGTGTCATAATTTACCCCAGGGTTAGATTGTGCTTATCTTCAGTCCTCTACCTTCATTGCTGGGAGCAGAGAGAGAGAGGGGGAATTGTACGTGCAGGTAGGAAATCAAATGACCACATCTTTAGTTGTCCACATGATAATTTGAGACCATTTAATTATAGGTTTCTTAATTAAATACAAATAAGTCATTTGTTCTACAGAAAACCCATAAGGTCAAGAGATCCTTTAACACCCATGTTTTGCCACGGACGCTTTATAACTATGCCACTAACATGATTGAGCAACGTTGGCAATATTAAAGTCCAATTCAGAATCAACATTTTAAATGTGATTTATGAGTTAGATGATTCATCTACAGCTAATCTGATCAATGCTGCAGCCTTGATTACCATAATGCGAACGATTATGTTACACTCAGAAATATCTGTGGGGGCCTTTGAGCTATTCTTCTGCTAAATGCTAGTTGATTGTGAAAGGAAGTTTCCATAGATACAATACTGAAATTCTCTTTTCAGTCCAGTCCAAGAGCAAAGTTCAAGAACTTTCATTAGATTAAAATAAACAGGCAAAGCCTAGATGTAACAGCTGGCCTTTCAGAATCAGGTGAGAATGCAAAAGAAAATATTTCTGCCTTGCATCTCACAACAGCCAGCGTGTTTATTCAGTTTTGGTAAGCTGTGTCCATAGTTTCTCACACTTGCAGGGCCATTTTAGACATTACAAGAAACATGAGGTTGCTGCTGAAAGCAGCATTTCCATGTTGAGCGCTACTCCTCTTTATGTTGTGATGTTGTGACATTATCTGCTTGCCTGTCCCTTGGGTGACTTGGAACAAGTGATTCTATACAGGTTACAGAGGCAGAAAATTCCAGCACAAGAGTGCCATTTTTGGAAAGAGCCCTGTGTCTTCCGTAACATCAACTTCTGTCCTCAGCTCAACAAGCTGAAGTGTAAAGCTGCTGCTCTTGCTATCCAAGTCCTTAATTTGGGCTCTCTCCATCTTCCTTTTATTCCTTGTGGGGCCAGCCATCAAACTGACTCAACTAATTAAATATAATCAAAAGGCCTCTTCTAGTTTGTTAGGTTCAGTGAAAGTTTGTGCCGTTTATGTTTGTGTGCTTCAATCAAAGAGTAGCAGCTCCACATCTCATAGACAAAACTGATGATATGTGAAATGAACTCCCTGGTGTGTCTTCACTTTGTTGTAGTTGATGCAGCTTTTTCCAGCGTCTGCTTCCTCAAGATTTCCCTGTACCACTAAATGGTGCAACCAATAATGGTGACAGCTCTGGTTTAGTCTAACGATTGGGAGACAAAACCTTGTTCCTCGGGCTCCTCAGGGAGTTTGTATAATAACCATGACATTGTCTGGAATTGCAATATTGGCATTTAAGCAATCGATAAAGCAGTCAATTCCACTGAGTAAATTGTTACGAATTTGATTCAAAACTGTTTAAATTGATATGCATTCCACAGTGTTCATTAGACCACCAGAGACAACTTTTCCTTGCGTTCTTAAATAACTGAGGGCGACAGATGTCAGCTAGAATATTTTAAATATATTTCAAACAGATATGACGCTAATGACCTTAATGTTCCACTTCAGAAAGTTTGCATGTAAAAAATATATATGACATTGGGGGTGGCCTCCTGATCAGGATGTGACTTAACATTTATTCATTCTATTTGCACATGGAAAAGGGGTGTGTGAGTGTGAGAGACTCCTTTCATAGTAACTCAACAAATAACAAGTTCAGCTTACTATAGTCAACATCTGCAGTGCTAAGAACTTTCATGGGCAATATATCGACACAGGAGACAATGTTAAAACAATGTGTGGTCATACTACACGTGATGAGGGCTCTCTCATTCCGCTTTCAACCTTCTAAAGAAAAGAAAAAAATGTGTGCCTCAATCCCTAGTTATTTCAGTTTAATACTATAGTCTGATTATGTCTATCTTTTTGGCAAGGGGTTCACATTAGAAGAGAGTGCTGCTATACCTGATTAGCTTGTACAGAGTCAAAAGAATTGGTCCTTGGGGTTGGGGCTATGATCCCAATGGGAGATCCACGTCGGCCAGAGAATGGCTACAAGGAATAACCGCATGTGCAGCCAGGATTACATTTTTGTTGTTGTTGTTGTTGCAACAGTTCCATCTAGGACACAGGTTGTGTGCAACCCAGTTGCGCACAATGGATGTGCATATACAATTCTGTCTTGTGCATCACTTATTGAGATCCTTGCCATGATATTTCCCAGGTCTTATTTCATATAATAAAATTTAATTATATGTCACATAATTCCTCTCCCTCCCCCCCAAAAAAATCCCTCTAAGCGGTCTATATAAAATAGTATAAAAATAGTATAAAATATTGATAAGGAAATGCCAATAAAGCAAGCAGTCATTAAAAACAAGTAGACATAACAAAATTATAAAGATATAGATGAAATGAACTGTTTTAAAAGGAAATATACATAATAAATTTGCATTTCCGAGTAGGTTTGCTGAAGCAAAAAGGTTTTTAAGCAGGCTTCGGAAAAATATAACAAAGGCAGCTGCTTAATAGTAACAGGAAGTGGTGGGGAGTAGGTGGTAGAAGTCTGATTCCTCACAATTGCAAAACAAACATTCCAAATCCCATATCCACAAATCTAAGTGATTGAATGGGCCTGTGTGGGGTAAGCCAAGCCTTTAAGTTAACTGGTCCCAAGCTGTCGAGGACTTTATATGCAGGCAACTCCCCATTTATGCAGGAGTTGTGTTCCGAGGCACCATGTGCACGTAAGCCTGCCCCACCTGCTTCCGGTTCCGAAAGGGGGCTCCCCCGGGGTTTCAGGAATGGTTCTCTCCAAGATGCCAGGTATTTTCTGCATGCATAAAGGTAAAGGTAAAGGACCCCTGACAGTTCAGTCGCAAACGACTCTGGGGTTGCGGCACTCATCTCGCTTTACCGGCGGAGGAACCTGACGTTTGTCCGCAGACAGTTTTTCCGGGTCATGTGGCCAGCATTACTAAGCCGCTTCTGGCGAAACCTGAGCAGCGTACGGAAACACTGTTTATCTTCCCACCAGAGTGGTACCTATTTATCTACTTGCACTTTGACGTGCTTTCGAACTGCTAGGTTGGCAGGTGCAGGGACCGAGCAATGGGAGCTCACCCTGTCCCGGGGATTCGAACTGCCGACCTTCCGATCAGCAAGCCCAAGGCTCAGTGGTTTACACCACAGCGTCACCTGCTGTATCACTAAGCTTCTAAAGGATGAGATAAAGGTGGCAAGTGCCCCATAATCGTCATTGCAGCTGTAGCAGTGTTAAGCCAGGACTTCATTGAAAATGTTTTTAGGATAGATTTGAAGGGGAGAAGAGAGAGAGAGAGAGAGAGAGAGAACGCAACATAGCCCCTCCAAGAGATGGAGGAGCAGAGTTACTTAATATTCAAACAGTTGTATAAAGCTTTGGGATAGGATTTATCTATCCTAGCTAGGCAGGAGCCACTATTACCGAGTTTTGGGGCTGCCCTGTAATTGAAATCATTATCTGTACAATTTTGCGGCTGCTGATTGAGATTGAAATCATGTATTTAGTTTTGCTCTGTGTGTCTGCCAACAATGCAAATATGCGAACTGCAGTAAATAATACATAGAAATGCGGGTGCTCATGCACACACATTCCCTGGCTGGTTGCTCATTAAACTGACTAAGGCAGAAGACATGGGCTAAGGCTACTGTTTGCTGTTCTTTGCTGCCTATGCCACTCTTGCAAGGAACAGGATAACGGTGATCAATGTGGTGTGTTAGTAGAGCAGCAATGGTCCATCAATTCCCATTGAATATCAGATTGCTAGCAATAAATCATGCATTAAACCCTAAGTAATCCCACTCAATTCATAAGATTTATATTAGGGCTGATTTAGACATTTCCTTTTCTGTTGAGGGATCACATTCCTGTGAATGATTCTTATGTCTGGATATGCTTGAAAATATACTGCACGCTTGGAGTTTGTTCATCTGAAGGTGGACCCTGAAATATGTGTTTTGTAGAGAATCAACTATGGCTTGTCACATATGTCAAAGTACCCCACCCTCGTCTTGGTATTCTGATAAGCCCTATTCATGTAGGCCCCCTTGAATTCAATGAGGCTTACCACCAGCAAAATAAGTATAGGAGGCCTAAATATTAAATTCGGAAAGCACGTCTCAGCTCCCAAGGCCAGACTTTACACACACGCACACACACGCACACACACACACACACACATGCACACACACACTTGTTTGCTTGTTTGTTTGTTTACCCCTCCTCCTAATTGTTACTCTTTATTGTCCTCCTTACTGACTTTGTTTTGCTTTTCCAGACTCGAAGCGAAGCAGCCATGACAGTGTTAAGTGGCCATGTGGTGGTTTGCATATTTGGTGATATGACATCAGCGCTGATTGGACTAAGGAATTTTGTGATGCCGTTAAGAGCCAGCAATTTCCACTACCATGAGCTTAAGCACATTGTGTTTGTGGGCTCCCTTGAATACTTGAAGAGGGAATGGGAAACAATGCATAACTTCCCCAAACTCTCAATCTTGCCTGTAAGTCCAAAGATCACCTCTTTCTTTCTTTCTTTCTTTCTTTCTTTCTTTCTTTCTTTCTTTCTTTCTTTCTAATGCACCAACTGAACAGAACCACACTAGCTTTGATCTTGGGCTTCCTCTTCTTTTAAAACTCCTATTCGGTTATAGGCCTCAGGACTTGGCCTTTTCCCTGTTTGTTGTATCTGTGAAAACTAAGCCCTGGGAGACCTTATTAGAAGAAATTTGCCGACGTGCTCAGTCCCTCGTCAAGGATGAATTTCAGCTGCTATCAAATATGTTAGCTATGTTATCTATTGAACACTTGCTTGAGTGCCCTGCATGCAGCCAATTTTGATGTTATGATTTTTTTTCCTGACAGCATGACAGTCATTACTTATGGCATTATTTATGCCTATGAAACCTTTGGAAACATTTTTGTATTATTTGTCTATCTACCTAATCTATCTGCATCCATAAAGACCTTTGAAAGGCTGGCCTGCTGGCTCTGCTTTATTTAACAGCCTGACAGTGGCATTTCATCTTTTTAAGGAGGCATACAGTCAGAAGATATAATTTGACACAATGAGTCCTGAACTGAAAGGGCCCCAATTCTTCACTACTTGGTGTTGCCATTTATGCCTGACTGCTAACGATAGTGCAATTTCTATTAGGTTGCTGTTTACACCCAGCAAACAAGGTGCAAAGCAGCAAGAGAATTGCAATGATTTCCACATCAAATGCTTTGCATTAATATTGTCTGTTTTCTTTTATTTCTTCTTTTGTGCCTAAACGTAACAAGGCTTTAAACCCAGCTTGTCTATCCAAGTTGCTTGTTACTTTTCAAAGCTGCATCTATCACGAGTGACCTCGCTGTCCCAAAACACAAGGCAACTAATAATTACTAATGTATCGCTCTATCATGCCTCGTTTCTCCAAAGTGCTGGGCATGTCTAAATGCACATTCCTGTGCTGCATCCAGGGCGAATCGTGTCACTTTTTCAGATCTGTGTTGGCCATCGACCCTCATCCATGCAACATTTGCACACCACTGTGGCTAAGAAGGAAATCATGCTAGACTGTAAACACTATACACTGGCATACACTGTGGCCTGCCGAGTGGAAGCCCCCTCAAAAACACTAACATTTGATCATGCATCAAGTGGCTGGCATTTGGCCCCTTGCTGTGGTTCATATGCATGCATACGTCATTGCATCAGGAAAGGCCCGTCGAAAAATTGATGTCTGCCACTTGGAACAATAAATGCATTTCCGGGGCCGTCTCACAGGAGCCACAATGGTTTTGCGCATCCCTTATTCCCAAGTAAACATCAGTCCGAAACTTATACACATCCATAAGACAATTACATTACAAAATATTGCTACATTCTGGTGGATAATTTTGCTCCCAGAAGAATAGGCACTGAGACAATTCCTTTTTCTTTTTAAACGGTTCAATCACACCATTTTAAATGACAGCTTGTTGAAGTACGTGGGGTGGGGGCTGACTAGAATTACACTTTGCTGGGTATTGCTTCAGCTAGTGTGTGTTTTCCTTGCATTTGTGTGCGCAGAGCATTCTTCCCCCCAGGTTTAGCATGGCCCAATATTCCAGATACTTGAACACACCCCTTGCTATGCTTGGAAGGCAAGAACTTGCCACACAAGGCTGACTGAAATCATGGCAATTCTGAGTTGCAGACAAGATGCAGAGCTCTGGCAACGTTCCTGCTTCTTGTTTGTTAGTAATAGCTTGACTGAGTATTGAGACTTAACGCTAAAATGCTGCCATCAGCACCAACTACCCTTTAGATTAGCACATTCCTTCTATTCCCTGGCACATAGTTAGACCAGCTTAATGTCAGAGCATAAAAAAGATACTTGTTAAATAATTTCCCAAAGCTCCTTCTCAGTATTTAATTTGTTTTTTTCCCATTTCTTCCTCCACCTCCCTCCCCTTTTCCTCTCTCTCTCTCTCTCTGCCGAAGGGTACACCATTAAGTCGAGCTGATTTAAGGGCTGTCAACATCAACCTCTGCGACATGTGCGTAATCCTGTCAGCCAATCAGAATAATATTGATGATACTTCGCTGCAGGACAAGGAATGCATCTTGGCGTCACTCAACATCAAGTCTATGCAGTTTGATGACAGCATTGGGGTCTTGCAGGCTAATTCCCAAGGTAAGAACTGCCCTATAATACTTCTCTATAGTGCCTACAGGGGACAGGACCTGGCAGGAAGAATATCCCTCACTCAGTAATTCAAAGGGACCTTACATCAGCTTGCTTGACAGTTAAACCTGCTGATTGGTATGATGGGTTTTTAAGGGACGGTCGCAACACCACACTGTTTGCACACACACACAAAGGCAAGTTTTGGCAATCCTAGCAAGGGAGAGCGAAAATTGACTGAGTGGTAGAATTTTATTTCATTTCCCTCTCAGATGGGTGATTGCTAAATCTGTAGCATTCTGCAGCCTCCAAGTTTATAGCAATGAAGTCACATTGCTACACATCACATAGCCAGAGGTGGCTTGTCCTCACGCTGGATGCAAAATGGGATAATTGCAAATGTTCTCTGACAAGGGTGTTTGCTTTGTCCGCAAGATAGCAGCCAAGTGCCACACGGCACAATAATAACACCTTTTAAATAATGATAATACTTTTTAAAGGCAGGGGGAAAGAGAGAAAAAAAGGAGGAAAGAATGGAAAGTTTGGCTTCATAGAATGCACATGAAGATTCTCACAATTTATCTACAATTCTACATGATTTCTACATGAATGCAGTCCTTTGTTTTTGACCCCCTCACTATTCACCAATGCTTTCCCAAGGTTGGATAAAAACACTTATGAAAGCAAAACAAACACCCTATAAAATTATAAGGCACAAATAAGACTGGGCATTTCCTGTGCGCTTCCTATCAGATCCCATTATTGCAACACAGAAAAAAGCAAACCAATAAGAATTATGCAAAACAAGTAAAAATGTCTGTATTTTGTGCATTTCTTTTATATGTGTTTTTGTTATTACCAACCCTGCCTTGAGGTTGCCTCTGCTTTCCATCCTATGAAATTATATATATATAAAATCTCCACCCTCTGCTAACATTCCAGAAGCAAACCCAAATATATAAGGCTCAGACTGATATAATATATCAGAAGTGGATATAATAATTGAAGTTTTAATGAGACACCAACAATAGTAAACATACGTAGTAATTATAAAAAAAATCCTTCCTGTAGCACCTTAAAGACCAACTAAGTTAGTTCTTGGTATAAGCTTTCGTGTGCATGCACACTTCTTCAGATATGTGTATCTGAAGAAGTGTGCATGCACACGAAAGCTTATACCAAGAACTAACTTAGTTGGTCTTTAAGGTGCTACAGGAAGGATTTTTTTTATTTTGACTATGGCAGACCAACACGGCTACCCATCTGTATACGTAGTAATTGTTATTGTTTTCAATATCCCACTTTTATATTCAAAACAAAGTTGCTTATGGAGAGAATATCTATGCAGCACAGTAGCAAAGGCCAATACTGCTCTGTGCAACCTTATTTATTCTACTTCCTGGTTCCTATATCCTGCAGTCCCACTGAGAGGCTGCTCACAATGTAATTGTATAGAAGGAACCACACCCTGTATGAGGCTTGGACAGATTAGAACACTTTCCCTCCACCCAGAGGAATTTGCATTGGTATATTGAAAACCTGCCAAAACCACATAAGGAAAACTTCCTATGTGTTCTTACCCATTCTGCTGTGTTATGAGCAACCACCAACGCATCTATAAAAGGAGCTGTGGCGTTTGCCTCCTAGGTGGGTCATAAGGAAAGGGTTAAATGAGTGTGATGTGACGGCCCAGTGAGAATGCAAGGGGAGGAGTAAAAGTTAGAGTGGGAGGTTTTGAAAGTCAGTTGAGGTCTGGGAATTGGAGAAGGAAGAGGGAGGAATAGGCAGTGGGTTGGACGAGGTGTATTGTGAGAGAGTGAGAGGAATTGTTAGGTGGAGTCAGATAGATAGTTGGGGAATAATCAGTTTGAAGTTGTTAGGAACTAAGATTTAAGAAACTGTCAAGAAAAACTAACTGAAACCATAAGCTTGTTCCTGCATTTAAAAATAAACTTGATTATTTGTTTATGTTAACAACTGTCTGGACTCCGTGTGTCCCCGTGAGAAACGGAGGCATGAGAAGCTTTTAATGTAATAATAATAATAATAATAATAATAATAATAATTTATTATTTATAACCCGCCCATCTGGCCGGGTTTCCCCAGCCACTCTGTGCGGCTTCCAACAAAGTATTAAAATACAGTAGTCTGTTAAACATTAAAAGCTTCCCTAAAGAGGGCTGCCTTCAGATGTCTTCTAAAAGTCTGGTAATTGTTCTTCTCTTTGACATCTGATGGGAGGGCATTCCACAGGGCGGGTGCCACTACCGAGAAGGCCCTTTGCCTGGTTCCCAGATAACATGGCATCTTGCAGTGAGGGAATTGCCAGAAGGCCCTCGGCACTGGACCTCAGTGTCCGGGCAGAACGATGGGGATGGAGACGCTCCTTCAGATATACTGGACCAAGGCTGTTTAGGGCTTTAAAGGTCAGCACCAACACTTTGAATTGTGCTCAGAAACGTACTGGGAGCCAATGTAGGTCTTTCAAGACCGGTGTTATGTGGTCCCGTGGGCCACTCCCAGTCACCAGTCTAGCTGCCGCATTCTGGATTAGTTGATGGGCCTCTTTGAAAACCTATTCAAGCCAGTGATGCTGTTTCCATCCCAAGGCAGTATAGCAGTTTGCCACCTGAACGTTTGAATTGACTCTGAACTTTCAAGCCGGGCTCTGTAAGAACAGGGGCTAGAAACATGGAATTTTGCTTTTGCTTTCAGAAGATATCAAAATAGAGATGCTTAGATATTCCCACTTCAGTGCAGATAATCCAGTGTAACACTGAAGAAACTGATTGCTTGCTTGTGCAAGTGGTCCACTCTCAGGTACATTGTAATAGAGGGCGGAACTCACAGAAGACACAATGGTGACTTTCATGAGCTGCAGATTGATTACCAATCATGTAAAAGTTACCAACAAATCTTCCATAGATTTATCCCGTTTTACATTGCTCATAACATGCGTCCAATAGTTTGCCTTGCACCTATATGTGTTGGAGTTGGTTATGACCCAGCCTAGGGCAGATCACATGAGTGGCATTGTCACAATTTTTGTTAAGTTTTTTTAAAGAGGAGAGTGTGAATAATAATAATTATTTTCTCCATGCTAAGTTACAACATAAGATACAAATAAAATAAAACATTAATCAGAAAACTAAAACAAAGAGTAAAAGGAGAAAAAGGAAAAACAATGATTATAACAGAACATAACCAAACATACATACATACATTTTGACTTCCTTCCATCCTTTAGTGACTTCAAATTTTCCATTTTTCTTTTCCGTTGTGTTATATGTATATGTAAATTTATTACTTCCAGTTTTATGCCTTTCATAACTATTTTTTCTTTTCCTTAAGCCTGCAAACTTCATTCATCCCATATCAATATATTTATTCCAGAACATTGTTTTTTCATATACTCTTTAACGCAGTCCCATTCTTTTATTAATTTTTGGTCTGATTGTCCTCTTAAGACTGCCGTTAACCTTGCCAAGTCTATGTATTCACATAGTTTAATTTGCCATTCTCTTACTGGTGGAATCCCCTCCCCCCCCCCATCTGCAGCTATAAGCATCCTGGCCGCCGTTGTCGCATATAGGAATACTTTCTTTTTATCACCAGGAATATAATTTGCAATTAAGCCTAGAAGAAAAGCTTCTGGCTTTTTAATAAAGGAGATTTTAAACATTTTTTAAAAAAATATTTCCTCTCATATATTATTCCAGAATTGTTTGAGAAGTCCACACTCTCACCACATATGATACATTGTTCCAGTTTCTTTCTTACATCTCCAACAAGTGTTGGTTTTTAATTTGTAAATTTTTGCCAATTTGGCCGGCATTAAGTACCACTGGTATAACATTTTCATTAAATTCTCTCTGATTGTATAACATGCCATAAAGTTGACATCGTATTTCCATAGCTTCTCCCATTGTTCCAGCTGAATTGTATAACCTATATCACATGCCCACTTAATCATGACCTCCTTCACCTCTTCGCCCTTTAAATCCCACTCTAATAACAGATTATACATTTTGGATATATTCTTTTTAGAATTTTGTAATAATTATTTCTGTAATTTTGATTCTTCTTTTTCAAATCCTATTATTTTGTCCTGATTGAATATAGGGGTGATTTGGTGATATTGCAGCCATGCCCTATTATCTATACGTACCACTTCAACATTAGGAATGCTTGAGGAATTGATTCTTTATGACTAGCCTGATTTGCACCTCTGAGGCTAACGTGCCGATCAGAACACAGTTAACTTTCGGATTTCACACTTTGATGCAGTTCTCCACTTAAACCAATGTACAAAACTACATATCTTACAATAAACAATTAAGAAATATTGACTTTGGGAGAAAACAATTTCAGGACAGTGTGTTGAGTGAAAAGATATATTTAAATATGAATTTTCATACAGATCTTTTGAATTTATAAACTTCACTGTAATACCTAACTTGATTTATATGTGGAACTGAGAGAGGCCAGAAACAGACTGTTCTGTTGATCTACAGACAATCTGTTCCTAGGTCACAGTTTTTAAGAGGGCCTGGGCAACAGTTCATGCTCAAAATTGGGAACAAGCAGTAAGCCATTTGGCTCTGAGTGGGAATGGTGCTGAGATACTTACTCTTTAAAATTCCAAAGTACCCAGTAAGGAAACACTTAGCTTCATGGAGGTTTGTGCCACTTACGTGTGCACTACTTCTGATCTCGTTATTGTGCTTTCACAACAGAACAGTAGATTTTCTTGAAGGATCTTAAATACCACGGTTCACATTGTCAAAAGCAATTAGATCAAAGGGCTGGCATAAACTTTGCTGCAAATTGTATTTGGAGTGACAGTTTTCTCTGTGAGATGCAGTTTTAGTGTAGAACCCAGCAAAAAGCCCTTCTGCGCAAGCCCCGGTTGAATATTAATGTCAATGGGGGGGGGCTTGCTCAGAAGAGCTCCCCCCTCCCCACAGATCCTGTCCTTAATATACAGGAAGCACAGTGGCAGCGGCAGC